GATGAACTGCGCCTGAAGACAGGCGTTTCCTCCGATCAGTGTCCCGCGGAGAACGACGCCCTGGCGGAGATTCTACGCGTGGAACAACCTCCTGCCTCTTCTGCTCCAGTGGAACCCCTAGAGCTACCTCTGCCCAGTCCCATTCTCCAGAGCGTAGCAGGGATCATCCATGCTGCGGAGGAGCCTTCACCCACACTGGACTTTGACACCAACAACAGCTCCAATTCGAACGAATCCACCTTCGCCAAGGAGTACGAGACATTCATCCACAAGATCGAGGGCAGTGGAAGCGAAGCGGAGGAGACGAACGCCCAGGACGACAGCGAATATCGAGAGCACGCGAAGCGTTTCAAGTTCTACAAGAGGAAGCGCAAGAACACGGAACCACAGGAGCCCCAGAAACAAGAGGTGGAGCAGCAGCAACAGGAGGAGGAACAGAAGGAGGTCGCACCCAGTCCAAAGGCAGTAAAGCTCTCACCCCAGAAGCTGCTCGCACGCCGTCGTCGCAATCGCATCAAGATGCTAAAGATCCTGGAGTTTGAGAGTCCGAAGCTCAAGTACCGGCACTACTTCAAGGCCCTGAAGCTACTGCGGAGGCGATACGCCAGCAGCAGGACGCGAGAGCAACACAAGACCCGGATGCGGCGACATCTGGCACTCAAAAAGGAGCGTCGCTTGCCGCCCATTAAGCGGCTGATCAAGAAATACGCCGAGGGATCGGGGAGCTCCGCAACGCAGCTCTACAATCCCCAGAGCCTCACGGGTCTGAGCGTTTCCGCCTTGAACACGAAGGCTTTTAGGAGCAGCCTGCTGCAGTCCTCGGGCCGGGAGACGGTCATCAAGAGCGGCTATGGGCTACAGAAGAAGACTGAAGAAGGAATCGAAACTGAGGATAGAGACCTGGGGCCAGAACAGGAGGAGGAGAACACTATCCAATCTGTGGATCTGTTGCCACATTTCAAGGGCTTCGATGACATCGAGAATACGAATCTTTCGCCGAAGGCCAAGCTGCGAGTGGAGCCCGAGGAGGCGGAGGAGAAGGTCCTGGCCCAGTCATCCGTGGCGGAGGTAACCAAAGCCAAGGAGCGGGAGATTCAGGCCTGGCTAAGGAACAACAGCATGGAGGAGGATGTGGTCGAAGTGCCTGTTCCAGAAGAGCCCAAACCAATCGTTGTCCCGTCTCCAGCTCCATCCTCCTCTTCCTCGTCATCATCTTCGAGTTCGAGCTCGAGCTCTAGTTCCAGCTCCGACGATGACAAGGATTCAACGAGCAGCAGCAGCCAAGAGGAGGACTCCTCCTCCACCAGCAGCAGCAGCAGCAGTAGCCCCTCCGTGGCAGAGGCCGCAGAGGTGGCCGAGGAGAGCGACTTCAATGAGATGGCCGCGCTGGAGAGAGAGCTCTCTCAATCGCAGATCCTGGAGCCAGCAGCGGAACCTGCGGCAGCTATACTGGAGGACATGGTCATGCCGCAGGAGGAACCAATCTCTTCTGCTGCCCCCATTCCCGAGGAGGCATCCAACAATGATATTGCCAAGCTGAAGCAGATTCTGGAGAGCGATGGCGAGGAGCAGACCACAGTGCGGAGCCCATCTCAATCCCCCAACCCAACCCCACTGCAATCCCCGAACCCTCTCCCCTTCACATCCCCCTCCAATGACACCTCCTCCATCGTACCAAAGCTAAGTGACCTTAGTAAAATTGCCTTAAATAGTTCCTTAAAAACTAGAGAATTAGACATAAGACCAAGCGGGGATCCAGAGGAATCCCTGCCCGCCTTTGAGCCGGATTCAGAGGGAGCCCAGGCAGCGGATCGAAAGGAATCCCAGCTGCCCCCATTTGAGGACAAGTCCCAGACCCCTTTGGAAGCGCCCGAATCCCAGGCTGCTTTTCAGCCGCATGCGGCGGCAGAAGAGGAATCCCTGCCCGCCTCTGAGATGCCGGAAACACCACGTGAACTGAGCGTCGAGGATGCCCTGGCGGAGATGTATCAACAAATAGGCGTGGCCTCCGACCCTGAGGACTTTGAGGGAGACAAGGATGCAGACACAGAAGGAAATCCAAGTGGACCGGACATGCTGCTGATCAATCTGGCGGAGATCTTTGACACCAGCAGCGATCTCTATGTGGTGGAGTGCGACATGAACGAGAACATCCTTGAGATTGTGGCCAGCGAGCAGGAAGAGGAGGCGCAGGATCGCAGCCAAGAGCAGGCCTTGCAGCTCATCCAACTGCTGGCCGAGCCACAGCCCGAGCTGATCCACCACGAGGAGATCATCCCAGACAGCCAGACGGAGCTGCGTCAGCGTCGACGCCAGCTCTTGAAGTATCTGCATTTAAAGTATGCCCAGAGACCGATCGGTAGGTTCTATCATGCCCAGCGGATACTCAAGAAGTACAGGCGGAGGAGAGGGCCAGCAGCAGCAGTAGCAGGAGCAGGAGCAAGGAAGCATCGGGAGTCCAGCTTCTACCAAAGATAGAGAGAGGATCACAACAGATCAGAGATCACTGATCGTTTAGCCCTGGAGCCATTGGGGCGTGACGGAACCATCAGGCGTGCCTAAATGGATACCAATTTCGATCCACAAATACACATAGACACACACACATAGTAAAAGATACGTATGTATCTATAGGTATACATTTCTAGAATCTCAAGACTTGGTTTTATTTTTGGATTTGATAATAGGTGAACAATTGTATAAAATATTAATACGCTACTTATTTACACACATAACGATATAGGGATATAGATACATATAGATATATATATTTTTTGGATATCTGTGCAATATTTTACATGGAAACAATGTCGTGTTTCAAGTGCAAACTTTTAATATTGTATCTGAAGTGCGCGAATTCGAATCTCGATGTGTTTTTTAGGATGAGTAAGCAAAGTTAATCGTCGGGCTTAGAACGAGAGTATTCGACGGGGGTTCGGTTCTGGGTTCGCGTGCAATTAACAAGAGATACATATATGTACGTGTATCTGATGTATGCTATCGGATAATGTATCAGCATTTTAGTCGCTCACTGAGGCCCTGAGTGTAGAGCAATTTTAAAACGCTTTCTGACTAAAGGTCAGACCAGGCCCCAGATTGGCCCCAGATTGAGGGCTATACCCGTACCGTACCTATCATGACCATAAATGGCTCAACTTGCGTGTTTTGCCAAACAGAACCCGAACCCGAACCTCGCCCCACGAATACCCCCCACTGAGTTCTGTTTCGGTTTGTTATTCTGTTAGCCACCAAATATATATGCAGCCTAGACCAAAAATATAGTAAATGGAAACCATAAATCTGTTGGTAATCGTTTTGAACTGTTAGATCCTAGCCTTAAAGACTTGTTTTGTTTTAGAGCAATTGTTTGTCGGGTTCCTAGAGGAATTTCTGCGAGGATCGTTAAGCCTACACCTAAAACACTTTTACACACACACACACACACATTTTTATTAGCCAGCAGTTCCAGATGTGGAGTTGCATGTGCATAAGTCCCCAAACCAGAAGCATCTTGAACTGCAACGAATCTGGCGGAACAATCGCATTCGGAATGGTTGTTTACATAAGATGCGGATGCAGAAAGCCCTCCTCAAGGGCATTGTTGCACGCGTATCAAAGGTAGACAGACAAATCGACCGAGAGGAGCTGCTGCATGGCACGTATAGCACGCGGGAAGGCATGAAAGCCTACAGTCTTTTTAGTGATATCTGCTTGAGTCTTTTTTATATGGGTTCTTGACTCTTTTAGTTTAGTTAAGTTATAATTTTCCTCGGTCATTATTTCCTGCATGTACGCGACCAGTTGGGATATACGTGTATCGCGTCATGCGGCAGCCCCCTTCGGTTCTGAAAAACAAAGAATGCTGCTGGCGTTAGGCTTAGGATCTCCACCACTTTCCATCTATCTATTTATCTATTGAAAAGTAATCCACCTAGATGTCTTTATCTCTCTCTTGTAACACATTCCAAAGGACCAAAACTATACACCACTTATACAAAATACACTAATAAATAAATAAATCTTATATCTAGCCTCATCTTAAGTGCAATCTAGAAACTTTTAATATACATAAAATACATATACATATTTCGAAATGTATTTTATTCGTTTTAAATAATACCTACGCTTAATTTTAGTACAAAACAAAGCAAAATCAAATGCAAATTGCAAATGCTAGCCCACTAAATGTTATATTAATAATAATGCTATTTATTATGGAATAAAATTGTACATAATCGATCTAGATGTCCACCCTTTGCCACACTTCACACACACACACAAACACAGTCCCTTACACTTGCTATAACTCTGGATATATAGTATATCTGTCTATCTGAAAGGTTTGGCGATTTACTTTAGCCTTAAGATTTGTGACTTTATAAATGTGAGTGTCTTTGAGCAAAAACAAAAACAAAAGGAAATACGATAAATGATATACGAAAAATCCTAAAAAGAGAAATAAATGTTTTATGTAAATGTTAATGGAGTGCGTGATTTGTCTTTCTTGGGGTATGGGTTTCTCTAAGGTCTAAGGGATGTGCAAATAAAAAATACGAAATCCTAAGATAAAGGAAATGTTTAATGATTTGATCTTGGGATCTTTGCTCTACTCTTAAGGAATGAGTCTATTAGGAAGTGGCACAAAGCGCGGAGCCCAAACAGAAGTCCACACAGGGCCAACCGTGGGGCGCTGCCGCATGACGCATACATGCAGGAATTTATTGAGTAGATACACTGTATTAAGTGATAATTATATCTGTTTGAATCTCATTCTATATGAAAGGATTATGAACATTCTCCAGTATATCTTTCCTGCAGTCTACATATCAGTTATCTCTACTGAAATTTTCAAACTTTAAACGATAATAGAAAAGGAAAATAAATTGTATTGCAAATCCACTGATAAAACGAATCGATTCGCTTCTTTTGAACTTTCCTCTAGAATCTGTAATCTACGATACACGGCATCCCAAGAGATTAAATGTCCGACTCGGATCGAGTTCTATTGTACAGAAATATTGCAATTTATTTTGTAGAATTAAAAAAGAACAGCACAGTTCACAAATCTAGAATTTGCAGGCTAAAAGTAAAAAACCAACTCTGGGGGTAGGCTCGAGTCAAGGATCGTTCCATCGCTTGAACTCTAACTTTGGTTTCGTTTCGTTTCGTTTCGTTTTGTGCTCTCCTTCGAGGGCTCTTTGGTCTCTCTGTCTCTCTGCTGAAGGCTCCACTGCAGTCTCCATAGTAATATCAGCATGAATCCTCGCTCTCTCGCTGATCCCCTCTGTGCCCGCTCTTCCGAGTGGAGTTCCCTACTCGTAGTTGTCGAAGTAGCGCTTCTTCAGATCCGGCGGATACGTGACATAGATGTAGTGCTCGTTCTGGCCCATTCCCGCCTCATTCTGCACAATCTCTTGGTTGGAGGAGGAGGCGCGCAGCGATTGCTGCGAGGAGCCCACATGCCGGTGTCGCGTCTCCAGGGGTCGGGGATGCGTATTGTAGTGGCGCTGCTGACCCTCGCCTCCGATTCCAGAGGCGGATGCACTGCTCACCACGCTGGTGGCTATGGATCGGCCAGAGCTACTTGTATAGTCGCGTCGGTCTAAAATGTCCTGTGGGTAGCCCAGGCTCGTCGAGTGGCGATGCTGCAGATGCGGATGCTGTTGATGCTGCGGATGTTGCTGATGCTGCGGATGCTGCTGATGCTGCTGATGCTGGTGCGGATGATGGTGCAGTGGCGTATTGGCGTTGGAGGAGGACGACACCGCCACTTGGCGTACGCCCCCGGCTGTGGGTGTGCCCTGACCCGGACCCGGACCCTGACCCCCCACCGCTTGACGCTGATCGGCGATGTAGTGACGCGGACTGTGCCGATGATATTGCACTGGTTCGGGGTACAAATCTCGAGCGGCTGCCGCCTGCTGTTGCTGCTGCTGCTGGTAGTAGTACTGCTGTTGCTGTTGCTGCTGTTCGCGCTGATGCTCCATCTCCAGCTCCAGCTGCTGGTCCGCACTCAGACCAGGTATCCCGCCGCCGTCCAGGTCGAGGTCGTGTCGCGTCGCATAGTCGACATGGTAGTGATGGTGGGCACCGGGCATGTAGATGCTGCTGCTGCTGTGACCGCCGACCCCTCCCGGCACGTAGTGATTGGTATTGATTGTCGTCTCTTCGGAGCTGAAACAAATGACTTGGGTTCGATCAATCTCAATGGGAGAGATGGCAAAGCCTCGGGGCCGAGGCCCGAAGGGGAGACTTACTCGAAGAGTATCCAGATGATGTAGTAGCAGAAGCAGATTCCCGTCGAAAGCACGAAGATGAGGATGACAATGAGGCCCCAGGGGAAGGCGCGCGGCTCCAAGGGACCATCCTCCCAATAGCGATCGCAGGTGAGGTACCAGCAAACGGCCTTGTTCATCTCCTCTGCGGATGGATATCGATTAATTGGTTCTCATTTATAGATCAGCAACACCCACCTTCCATCTCCTTGAAGGCCTGATCGGACATCGACAGCAGGAGTCCTCCTATGCAGCTCCTCAGCAGGAGTTCGCACCGAGTCTTCAGTTTGCTCAGCTCCTCGGGCTTGCAGTTGGCCCTGGCCTTTACACCATTCCCATTGCCCGATCCCTCCTCCATTTTGGCCGGATCCTGCTGGCCACTCGCCTCCGCATCGTCCCCGCTCTGCTCCTCCTCCTCCTCCGTTTCGTTCAGCTTCGTCTCGGAGTCACCCTCCGCGGAGTCGCCGCCGCGCTTCAATCCCAGCTCCTTGAGCTTCTTCAGCAGCTTCTCCCCAGCGGACTTTGGCCTGGCCGCCGAGCCATCCTCTCCTGCTGGATCTAAGCGAAGAGGGTTGACTGAGGAGTGGCGACGGGTATGGGTATGGGTACGGGGGTGTGGATAGGATGGGGTCGAGTGCTCACCTGCCGGCGACTGCTGCTCCTTGCTGCTGCTGCTGCTGCTCGACGACTGGATTGGCTTCTCTTGGAGTAATTGACGGTTTTGTACTTTGGCGGCACGCGAGGCACCCAATGTGGAAGTTCTGTGTCGGGGATTTGATGTGAAATAATTGTGCAAAAGGTAAGAGGGAAAACCCACCTTGGTATTAAGCTCAAGTATGCGGCATTCGCTTTGGCCAGCGCGGAATTTTGGCCCAGGGAATCGCCCCAGACTTCAATGTCCGTGACAATGTGATCCCCGAACTTAAGGCTCGTGGCATCCTCCGTCTCGAACACCTCGCAGCGCATGATGTCACAGAAGTCGGCCAGACAAATGGAGTCCATTGCCTCATTGATGATCGTCTTGTGGCGTGTGTCAAAGTGCAGATCCAGATGCCGCTCCTGGTAGAAACTCTTTCCACAGCGACGACACGTCCACTGGGTGGGACGATCCCGTTGCTTGGCATCTTGGCGCGGGGCAAAGACATCCCGGAACGGATGCAGCGGGCACTCCAGAGGCAGCTTCACCTTATCGAAAAGAGTGGACGATGCAACAGCTGCTTCTCCAGAGAAGAGATGGGGATGCTCACCTGATGCTTATCCAATATAGGCGTCCATTTGGAGCGCACTATCTTGCGCACCAGCCGGCTGTTATCACGCGAGCAGAGAATCTTGATGACATTCGTGGGCGGCCATGGTATCAGCAGCAGAAAGTAGACCAGTGCAATCTGGGGTATCGGAATTTTCAAATTGGATGTGAAAGTGGACGATGAACTCGGGATACGGACACGCAACTTGCCGGGCCGGCTGACCGAACTGTGACCCCGTCCTCAGAGCAGCAGCTCAACCAACAGCCACAACCCTCCCTTAGAGCCACTTACCCTGTTTTTTGGGTCACTTAAAGTAACAGGGACTCAACCCCCCAGGCCGCAGAAAATCGATAAAAGAGTGTGTGGCATGGGGCATAGGCAGGCGGGCGGCGGGCTTTGGTTGCGTCTTCACGGAATACGTATACCCCTCTGAAATGGGACCATGGACAGACTCACCTCGAAATGATGATATTTAGGCGACATTCATACTATGTATTTGTGGTCGCTGGCTGTGCTGTGGGTTGTTGTAGGCGCAGGATTTACGAATTCAGTTGCAATAAATCGTTTCAGGTTCAGGCGTTGTTTCTTTTCAGGTTATGTATGCAGGACACCGAAACGTATTCCGAAGAAGGATTATTTTTCTGGCCAAGCTTTAAGGCAACTCAAAATATAGTATACTTTGCGAAGATTCCAACAGACGATTGGTTTTTTAAAATTTCGGTTTTCCTATAAATAAAAAAAAACGCCTGATTCGAGCCTGTTCTACTGTCCGCACTGGTGAAAATTTCTCTGCTCTCTGAAAACTGAATTATTACTTCCTGTAGCCGCTCTCTCTCCCGTTTACCGTTGTCCTGCGCCGCCTATCGCCAGCTGTTGGCAGAGTTGAATCCGATTTAATACTAAAAACCTGTCGACACGTTGTGAGTAGCGGCACACGTCCGGCGACACAACTAATACACGGTACTCAGTCAGTATATAAATATGCAATCTTATGATGAACTATATATTTTATACACAATTATCCATTGGTTGGTATTGGACGTTCTCACCAACGAAGTAGCATCCCGCCGTTATTTTTCGCACAATAAATAGTTTTCTAATTATTGTTATAAAATTAGACGTAAAACAAGAGGGAAAGACGATGTCCGTCTGTTACGTAATGAACTCCTACCACATACTCTTTCAGTACCTGGTATACAAATACTAAATATAATTTGAATGTTTTTTTTATTTCTTGTGGGGTGGTTGTCCTGCAATTCCGTTTTTGTTGTTGTAGGGGCAGGAACTGCAAATAGTTTTCCATCTGCTATTTTACAAATTTCTAAACTAAAATTACATTTTTTTATCGCACAACTTTCTGGAACAAAGTCATCTTAAAGTGGGCGTTTTCCGAACCGAAATCGCATAGTTATGTAGACATTTAAATACTAGGGTACAGCCGGAGAGCGATCATCCCTGCCAATCGGGGCGGGATTCACAGTCCATTGTAGACGCGATTGATGGACGATTGGTCGAGTATTTTCTTGAGCGCTGCAATATAATACGAATGGGGATTAATACAGGCATAGAATAAGGGCCTTTCCGACTACGTACCTTCCTTGTCCTCTTCCGTCAAATCCTTCTTGGGGAAATCCACATCGAAGGTGATGTACAGAAAACCAAACAAGTTGTTGTTCTCAAAGTTGGGCATGCCCTCGCCCTTCTTACGAATGCGTGCTCCGGGCCACGTGATTTTCTCGCGCATCACCGGCACCAGATGACCGTCCAAGTGCTTGATGTCCATGCTAAAGCCAATCAGAGCATCCTGCAGACTGATGGTCACATTCGTGTACAGATCGTCGCCCTTGCGTTGGAATCGCGGATGGGGCATCTGCTGGACACGCACCAGCAGGTCTCCGGGCTCGCCGTCAATGTGAGGCTCTCCCTCGGCCACGAAGCGCGTCTCCTGTCCATCGACCATGCCCTGCTCTACCTCGATCTCGAGCGTGCGCTCCTCGTTGACTAGCTTCACGTTCGGGCACTCGTCGCAGACCGTCTGCTGGATCATCTGGAAGCGGCCAGGGCCCAGATTCCTGGTGACCATCTCCTGGCGGCAATTGCACTTGCGTGTGCCCGAGGCGGGCTTCATTACCGGCTTGTTCCGCACGATCTCCACAAAGTTGCCCGAGTAGAGCTCCTCCAGCGACACGTACATGCTCATGACGATGTCCGCCCCCCGTAGCGTGTCCTGCTGGTGCTGATCCCCATTGCCAAAGGGAAAGCCAAAGTCGCCGAAGAAGCTAGCGAACGGATCGCCGCCATGGTCCATCATGCCCTCCTTCTTCAGGCAGTCCTCGCCACACCGGTCGTAGGTCTTCCGCTTGTCGGCATTCGATAGCACCTCGTAGGCGGCGCCCAGGTCCTGGAACTTGGTCGACGCACTCGGATCGTCCTTGTTCTTATCCGGATGCAGCTCCTTAGCCAGCCTGCGGTACGCCTTCTTAATTTCATTTGTGTTGGCATTGCGCTGCACATTGAGAATTTTGTAAAAGTCCCGGCCGGCGAGGGCCACGTCCACCAGGAGCACCGCCAGCTGCACCAGCAGTAAGCTTTTGATTAGCTGCATTCTGTGAATTTTGTTTATGTCGATTCTATTTCGTTCAATTCAATAATTGTAACTCATACTTTTAAGAATATTGCTGGCAAAATTTGTCGTCGACGCTAGCTACGTTTGTGTGTGTGCGTCGTGGTCGGCGTTGATTGGCTGTGGCACTTAACAGCTGATTCTTTGACATGTGCGCCCAACAGCTCTCTTTTCTCTGCTAGATAGTTAACATTATGTTAACTCCTAGATAGTTAACGTATGTTTATTTAATTTAAGTTATTCATTAATTATGCTTCAAAGCCTAATGGAAAAAATACATTAACTAAATATATAGTTAGTTATTTTTTAAATTATGTCATACTCCATAAATATCATAAATATGTAGTTCATACGTACTAAATATGTAGACACCGTGTAGTTACCATGTAATAAAACGCGAACGATTAACCCATTGTCGACCAAGGGGTATTCGAATAGTTAACCGAATATTATGCACCGAATACATTGATACGTTTAGGTTATATATCGTGGTATTATTGTAAGTAAAGATGAAGGATGGTATGGATGGACCTATTATTATTATTATTAATAAGATTTTTCGTGGATTAACTAAAGCTGTTCACCTGTTTAAATATATGGGGATTAAGTGGGTTAAGTTCGTTTTTTCATCGGTATACGATAAATCCGCGGTTGAATAGCCAAAACAAAGTAATCCAATTAAACTTTTGCAAATAAACAGCGACAGTAGCTGCAGCTCTTGCCATTAATTGTATTACGATTTGCCTATTTGTGCCATTACCCAAGTGCATTGGGGCCAGTGATTGCCATTTGTTTACAGTTACTGCGCCTTCCTTTTCCATATAGGTAAACATTTTTGTGTTTCTGTGGCTTTTCCTTGAGTATTTGCATATTTAACGGAATTTTTTGCAGCGTTTTGGCTATCCATTAACCCACATTTATTGCCAACTAACTTGCATAATTATAGTCAAGGTCAAGTAGCAACAACAACAAGATCTAGCAGAAGGCACGACCCTCGTCTTAATTGTGTGCGCGAAAAAAGGTGAGTAATGCAATGCAATACTGTAGCAAGTAATAATACACATGTTAATTAGGTGTAGAGATTACCCCTTTGGCATGATCTCAACCTGATTCAGCAGCGGGGCCCTGAACGACAATTAAGCTGCTGAGCCGGTCATTGATCAGAATAGAGTCTGGTACTGCACCAGAATCCAGTTCACTTCTCAAGCGTCCGGTTATCGGTACCCGCGCCCCCATTCTAGTTTTTCCTGTGTCTGCGGGTCGTTATCAGCCAAGAACAAAGAGGAGTTTAAATGCGTAGCCCCAATAACCCGTCTGAGTCAGTCCGTCCGTGCACAAACAAAGGCAGTAAGGCAGCTAAAAATGCGATATGCACTCGGACTTTTGATAAAAACAGACCTACAGACCACTTCTGATTTCTCACAGCTGGATATTATATGTTGCTCGAAGTAATCTACATAAAATTTGCAGTACATATGTATAAACATATGTTTGTTTCGTCAATGGCTAAGTGCCAGTAGTATCTCCAGTAGCTTATCTTATCGAGGCCATAAATAGGAACCCCTTGTGCGCATACCAGAGATCTGATCATAAGAAATCTACGCAATTTCCCACAAACTACCTTCAAACACTACACATGTAATTGTCATATGAGAACTAATGCAAGTAATCTCATACGATTATCCATGTAGCTAATTTGTTGGAATTGTCCTATTAAGGATTGTCAATCCTTGACTGCCATGACACCGCACACAACACAGATTAGCCAAATCCAAAGATTTCGAGTAGTAAACTACAAGTGGAACCATTTAAAGACACAATCAGTAGCCGCTGGCAAACAGTTTCGCTTTGTCTGCGGAAGCGTGTGGTACGGTCCTCTCCCCGTTGCCTAAAAATTGTGATATCCCTCTCTTCAGTTGGACATTTCGTAAGTTTATATCTGATAGAACGCACCCTAACACGGTACTAAACACCCTCGATTGTGGCCAAGACATTTGCGGAAGTCTGCACTTGACACACACTCCAATCCGAGTTGACATGGACTGGTAGCCCGTAATCTGTTGGGGCTGTCATAGTAGGTGCAACGTATTCAAATGGGATCGAGCCTAATCGTAGATGCTTATCGAATACTTAAGTATGGGCAAAAAACAGAGCGATAAGCCACCGGCTAGCTATTATTATTAGCTCTGCTGGGGATAGCCAGGATAGGGCTGAGCTGAAAGTCAATAAGCGAATAAGCGAATAAAAATTCTCCTGATAACCTCCGATACGGTTTATTGGCACAGATTATGCAAGCAAAAATAGCTTAACGAAATCCACTCACTTTCCAGATGCAACACAGCAGCGCGTAGGCAACGTACTTGTACCTTTTCCTTCCGTGAATCTTTGGCATCTCATCGCTCAACATGTGCTGCAAGTGCTGCGGGGAAACTCAACGCAAGGCCTGGGTCTTTGGCCTTGGATCGCTCTTCATGATTCTGGGTATCCTTATCGTGGTCTTTTGGCCCGGTTTGGCCGACCATTTAGTGGAGGATGTAAGTACTTTTTCACTCCTTCGGTACATCCAATAACCTTTTTCACTCAACTCCTTTTAGGGTCTCAAACTGAAGCCAGGCACCGACACCTACGACAGCTGGCTTGAGGCTCCGATTCCTATTTATCTTAGCTTTAACATGTTCAACTGGACGAATCCCGAGGAGATACGCAATCCGAACGTGAAGCCCAACTTCGTGGAGATGGGTCCGTACGTGTTCCTCGAGAAGCACAAGAAGGAGAACTTCACCTTCTACGAGAACGCTACAGTGGCCTACTACGAGCGTCGCACCTGGTTCTTTGACGCGGAAAAGTCCAACGGCACGCTGGATGACATGGTGACGGCTGCTCATGCCATCACCGCTACGGTGGCGGACGAGATGCGGCATCAGAAAAAGATCTTGAAGAAGATCATCAACTTTATGCTGAACCACGAGGGCGGCGAGCTGTACACCACGAAGCCCGTGGGCGAGTGGATCTTCAAAGGCTATCAGGACAATCTCACCGACTTCCTGAACCTGTTCAACACATCCGTGATCGACATTCCCTACAAGCGCTTTGGCTGGCTGGCGGATCGTAACGAATCCCTGACATACGATGGTCTCTTCACCATTCACACGGGCACTGACAACATCGCCAACGTGGGCAAGCTGACGCACTGGAACGGCAAGGCGGAGACCGGGTTCTATGAAATGCCCTGTGGCGTTGTGAACGGCACCACTGGGGATCTCTTTGCCCCCAAGATGAATGTGAAAGATGAGATCACCATCTTTGCCACCGATGCCTGTCGCTTTATGAACCTCAGGCCAGAGGGCACTTTAGAGAACCATGGCCTGACTGCCACCCGCTGGGTGGGCACTGAGGAAACCCTCGATTCTGGCGAGAACTATCCGAATCAGGCCTGCTTCTGCGATCCCCGCCTCGAGGAGTGCCCCAAGACGGGTGTGGTCGAGTGCAAGGCCTGCCGCGACAAGGCGCCGATCTACTCATCCTTTCCGCACTTCTACCTGGCGGACAAGCACTATCTGGATGCGATAACTGGCATGAATCCGGACAAGGCGAAGCACGAGTTCGTCATGGCCATTGAGCCGACCACGGGAGTGCCCGTCCAGGTGCATGGCCGCATTCAAATCAACATGATGATTGAGCCCGACGATGATTACGAGTGAGTGATAGTCTATATGTTCCTTGATCTATATTCTTTATATTCTTTTATATTACAGTATCTATCGAGGAGTTCCGAAGGTGCTGATGCCCATGTTCTGGTTTGACCAGTATGCAGAGCTCTCCCCCGAGCTGGCCTCCAAGGCCAAGGTAGATAGATCTCAGCCACCCAATAGATCACTCTGTTAAACTTTGATTTCTCTTTCAGTTGGCCATTAATCTGTCATCCTATGGCATCATCTTTGGCTATTCCCTGGTGGGCTTTGCCAGTCTCTTCATCATTACAGGCGTCGCACTGACACTGACCAAGCGGTGGGTGCGTCGCGAAGATGACGAGGCCATGCTGACCAACTGAGGAAGCATTGGCAAGGCCTTAGCCATAGTTATTCTTAATTGCCAAAGTGCCAGGACAAATTAACACTCCTAGTTCATTTTGATAGTCGCATCGTTTGTTGTTACGCGTTATGTATTATGTAACTTGCTGATAGCTAGTAGTCGCCTCAACATTCGTATTGCATTTTGTGATAACAATCCATAGCCCCTAACTCTTAGTCTATATACTATTCTATGTGCAATAACACGAAACACCCACAAGCTGAGATTACCTTTACCTTTATCCAATTCCAATTGCAACTGCAATTCCATTTGAATTTTTCATTTTATTTCGCAAACATAATTTTTACAACTCTTTAATCAAGGACTTTGTTTTTACTTATCGTATACGATTGTTGGATGCTTCAACGATTTGCTTGCTTTATAAATGCATTAATTGAATGTTTTGTTGTAAGAATAATAAATTAAAATACAATAATTTTATATGTATATGTATATATATATATAATGGTTTATATATATGTAAGATATATGGCAAAAATTTTTACATTTTCTCAAAAATCACATTACTCAATTTAGCCATAGACTTTTAGTCGAGAAAAATCTACGCAAATATTTGTGACATCCATCGAAAAACTCGAAATCATTTTTGCACACACACACACATTCTCAGAGGGTTGGTTAATCGACAAAAGATAATAAAAACACAAAATGGATACAAAATATAGACCGTTATCAAAACGCGTAACTCTCTCTCTCACTCGCTAAATTCAGATACGGTGGGTGTGAGCGGCTGGGGGCAAGTCTGGGCACTCTTGAAATTCTTTAGTTCCTTTCGTCCAGCGAATGTCCGATACGATACGATATGTATATATTCGATCGTATGACCATTCGATGGATCCGATTCGTTGTGGGTATGATGTGTGTGAGGGGGTGGGTAGGCGATTCTACGTACTAAAAAATTTGCATAGTTTTTTGTTTTCTTTTGTTTTGTTGCATTCGATGTTCTGTTTGTTCTTCTTGTTGCTGACTAAAGTAGTATTAAAATTTAGTTAAGTTTAAAGTAAAAAATCAATCACAGTTGTTTGGGCGGAAGTAGTTTAGTTAGTGTAAGTATTCGCATCTGGCCTAAGTCGCAGCTACTAAGACTATGTATTAAGCTTTAGTTTAGTGTATTAAGTAGTTTTCGTATTTTATACTTGAGTATTGTTTCCGTTTCTCGTTTCTCATAGTTATATAGTGGTGCTCCTCGCTCTCTCTCTGTCGTTTCTCTCTCTGGTTTTTTGTCATTCTCTGTATGGTTGTCCCTCTTCTACCTGTGACTAGACTGGGTTCTGTTATTTGAATGCGTTCTTGAGGTTCTTACGTTACGTCGCGTTACTGTTACTGTTACGTTACGGTTGCTGTTACTGTTGCTGTTACTGTTACTGTTATGCTTCTGTTCTGCTGTTCAGGGGGGTTTCTGTTGGATCTAGATCTGTCCGAATTCTTCTGCCTACGCACCGCGGCCGAAACACTGTGATCGATCTCTTAACTCCAACTCGACTCTCGATCTATGCAAATTCCCATGTAGCATGTAGCATGCCACCGCACATCACAAAAACACATATACAAACACATCAAACAGCAATCGAACTAGAGAGAAGAGTGTCGTCTGGCCTTAGCATCGCTTCCCTTTCCGTTCCTGTTTCTACATTTCCGTTTTTCCATTTCTCTATTTCCGTTTAGGTCTGCGAGTTGTAGCTCTTGTGGTGCTTCATCACCACAGCGGGATCCATGACGTAGTTGTTGGCCTCCGCCAACTGCTGAACAGGCAGCGGCGGTAGCTTGTCCTGCGGATGCCGATGGCTGACCGCAGCAGAGCTCTTCCTCGTTTTGCTCAGTGTTCCACCTCCTCCCGAATAGGGGGACGTGGAGTTGGAGTTCGAGTTCCCATTCGCATTGGAGGAGGATGATGATGCTACTCCTCCTTCGGTGGCATTCTTCGGATTGACCATCACCTTGGTCTGCTTGAGCAGCGATCGATCGTTGCACAGCGCCGAGATAAGTGGCAGATCCAGGTGCTTGCTCTTCTCCCTCAGCAAGGCTATATCCAGGGCCTGGGCCTGAGCTTGGGCCTGGGCTTGGGCATGGCTCTGTGCTGCCATCGAGGCCTGTAGTTGGGCCAGAATGCTGTTGCCAGTGCGATTCAATCCCACACCCATATCGGACCTCGGACGTTCCCCTGCCCACTGGGCTCCGCTGGAGGTCTTGGTCAGCGGACTGTTGGCATTGTGGGGATTCAGTGTGGGGGGCTTTCGCGGCGGCAGGATGCTCGTGCTGGGACTGGGTTTCGAAGGAACTAAAAAGCAGAGAATAAAATGGGATTAGTGAGGGCTTCTATAAGAAATGAAGGAACACTCACTTGGTGGCGGCTTTTCACTGGGCGCCGGCATTGGTGGCTTCTTGAGGCGCCTGTTCACATAGGGTGGCGGCGGTGGCGGCGGCAGACGCTTCCCCTTGGGCATCGAGTCGAGCGAATTCAGAATATTGTCGTCTGATCGTGATCGTGCGAACATCGAGGAGGCGTTGGCGCTCGCGTTGGCCGCGGCGGCGGCTGCCAAGGCCGCTGGATGCAGCGGGGGCGGTGGCGGGGGCTCGTACGAGGAGCACAGGCTGGCCATCGAGGGCGAGTATAGGGGCGAATATCCGGCCCCGGGCAGCTGGACGTACGTGTCCGACAGGTTCTGGGTGGAGGCGTAACGCGAGTGCGTGGACAGCGCCAGTGGGAGGTAGGGCGTGCTCCGGTAGATCGCCGGCGACACCTGCATCGCCAGATACGGATGGTGGGGTGGCGGAGGTGCTTGATGGGCCATGGCTGCCAGCAGGGATCCCTGCTTGGAGTCCAGGTACTCCTGCTGACTGACCGCTGGATCCTGAATCGGGTAGATCACGTAGTCCACGTCGCTGTACAGCTGCTGCTGGTACAGCTCCAGCTGCTTCCTCGCCAGCTGACTCGTGTACAGGTGATGTCCGGTCAGATGTGGATGCTGGTGGGGATGCTGGTGAGGATGGTGTGCTGGCGGTGGTGGTGGGGGCGGCTGTCGGGGGAGACTGGGCGGCGGCGGGGGCAGAAACTGGCGCGGCTTGATCACCGGCAACAGAACGCATGCCTGCTGTGGCTGCTGGTGGTGCAGCGAGGCCGTGCTCTTGTGGAGGCCGTAAGGAACTATCGGTATGCCAATGGCCGCTGATCCCGAGTGTCGATGGTGCGAATGGTGCGATGGGTGCTGGTGCGGATCGACCATACGATGGTGTGGATGCGCATGCGGATGCGGATGGTGGTGCAGCGAGGCCTGGGAGCCGGATCCCGCGTAATTGGAATTGTGAAGCGACTGCTGCGACAGCTGGTGGCTGCACACCGATCCACTTGAAGACGCTGCCGAGGAGCAGTGGTGCGGCGCCGCATAGCTGGGCTTGGCTCCATCCGGCAGGAGGCTGGTGTGCGCCTTCAGGATGCTGATCTGCGGCCGCGTCGTAATGAAGCGCGCTGTCACCTCCTCGGACTTTAAAGAACTCAACGATCCCGCCGTACTGGGCGCCGGATTGGCCGAGGATGCCACCGAGATGAGGGATGTGGGCCGGGGCTTGCTGCTGCTGGGATATGGCGGTGGATCTCTGCGTCGCAGTGAAGTCACAGGCGGCGGCGGAGCAGTGGGTGGCGGAGGAGCCGGACTGGGACTTGGCGGCGGCGGCGGCTCTGGTTTTGGCGGAGGAGGAGCCACTACGATGGGTTTCGGTACTGTCTTGGGCATCGGTGGCACTGGCGGTGGAGCCACTGGGGGTCCACACAGACCCGTCTTCTCGTGCCGTGCACTGTACGGTGGTGGGGGTGCTGGCGGGAGCTCCTGCTCCTGGTCATCCGCCTCGCTGGGGGTCTCGAGGGGTATCGGCATCGGCATCGTCACGTAGTCGCAGTCCGAGTGCAAATTGCTGGACACGGTCTTGCGGCTCGAATAGGTGCCACGGCCCACGATGAGGTTCGTCAACTCTTCGGCGGAGAGCAGTGAGTGCTTGTTGTCCGTGGGATCGCTGCCGTCGCCGCGGAAGGAGCTCCCGGTGCTGATGTTCGAGTCTGAGCGCAGTCGAAACTCTGCCCGTTTCTTGCCGCCGTCCACTAGGTCCGAGGGTCCGCCATCCTCCATCTCCATCTCCATGGATTCCGTGGGCTGGAACATCCCGTAGTGGGAGCTCTTCTCGGACTCGGCCATCTCTGAGGACTGGCCCGTGAGCTCGCTGCTGTGCATCGTGTACACCCCGGAGGTCTCTGTGGGCGGGGCTCCATGGGCGAGGGTGTACACCCCCGATGCCCCGGATACGCTCTCCGGGAAGTCCTCGGGATTCGTCTCACTCAAGGCGGAGTTCTGGGCCGTGTGGCTGAAGCCCAGCTCCAGGCTGGAGGACGTCGAGTGCACGGGTATGCTGCTGGCGGATGCGGATCCACTAGCACCGACTCCGGCCACTGGAGATGTCACCACCACAGTGCTGCAGGTGGAGGAGCACTGGGATCCAATGTTGTGCTGGGAACTGGGGGAATCAGTGGCCGTCGACGAATCATTTGCGTGTGTGGTGCCCAAAGAGGTTCGCGGACCGGAGGAAGAATTACTGGCGGATATGCCAGACGCTCCATTGGAGGCCGTATCCGGGGGGCGTACGCTCAACGCCGCAAGCTGCTCCTCCAGGTCTTTCAGGGACATTTGTCCCACGGACGAAGTCTGCCTGCTGACGCTGGGTCTGTCCAGGAGATGGGCCAGGGCCAGGCTCTCGGTGGATGGGGCTGCCAAAGGCGCCGGCGGAGTGTTGATCATGATCTCCAGCTCGTCCTCGGAGTGCACGCGATCGCTGACGATGCCCGAGGTGGTGTTGGAGCTGGTGCTGGATATCACCGAGATGCGCTGCTCGTTCTTGCTCTTGTACGGCAGCAGGAGACTCCGGGAACAGGCGTAGCTGGCATGCAATCGATTCGACTCGGCCTCCTCCTCCTCCCGCTTGTGGGCATCCTTGAGGCGTGCCGCCAGCTTCATGCTCCACTGGTGCGTGTCCTTGCAGAGCGTCAGCAGCAGCTTGTTCTTCTCGTCGGAGGCGGCGTACAGCGTGATCCGGCTCTCCCCGGAGCGGATCTCGAACTTCTTTCGCTCGAACGAGAGCTTCGTTATGTTGGGCCACAGGAAGGTGGTGGAGGTCTCCGCCGAGGCCGCTGTGACCCCTCCTTCTCCGCCTCCGAGGATCTTGATGCCTTTGGCGTAAACCACGAACCAGGAACTGCCTGCGCCCTGCTCGCTCTTGGCCAGCCGCATCCGGAATGTGTGCGCATTGATCGTCTCGTGGAGGCTGCACGCCTGCTGGATGTACAGCAGCTCCGCCTCCGCTGCGGACATGCCCATGTGCTCTCGATGGCATGCCCGCAGGGCACTTCTGCCCCAGGGCGTGTTCAGAGTGCTCGGAAGGTAGTCCTCGATCCGGAAGTAGTCCGTTCCGGACGCGGGCAGTGGCAGTGCAGGCGGTAGTGGCGGCAGGGGCAGGGGTTCCCTCTTGGAGGTGGAGGCCACATACGTGGAGAGGCGCAGCATCCGCTCGTTGGCGCTGCTCAGCCGCTTGCTGATCTTCGGCAGCGTCATCGTTGTGGAGGCTCTTGGGGATGTGACCCCTCCAGCCTCCTCGCTGGAGTCCTCCTTTGTGGCTGT